CTAACAAAACTACATAAATCCCCACAACACAACTGGTACTATAGTTATTAGCATTTTATTATTCATAAACACACAAAATCATGTGCTGCGAAGCTGTACAGAAAAATAACACCACCGGTATAAATACTTTACAGTGTGCAAAACGGTAAACACGAGAAGCCAATCAGCCCGTTTAAGCATGTCCAATAAGGCACAGGAGTTACTAAATCATAGTTGCAGTTAATGAAAATGTGTTTGTTTCTACAATAATGTTTATATTCATTTACAAATAAGTGGTATGTGCATACAATAACGTTGACGTTCATTCACAAATAAGTGGTGAGTGTATACAATAACGTTTACATTCATTCACAAATAACTGGTGTGTGTAAACAATAACGTTTACGTTCATTCAAAGATAACAGTTGTATTCCTTGAGCAATAATAATTATGAATATTCACCAATAACATGTGTTCATTCAGCAATAACACATAAATTCATCCACCAATAATATTTGTTCATTCAGCAATAACATATAAAGTCATTCACCAATAACATTTGTTCATTCAGCAATAAAATCTATGTTTTTTTCACAGTAGCCATAATTATAACTGCTAAATTGACATTATATATATATATATATATATATATATATATATATATATATATATATATATATATATATATATATATATCAACACAGACACACACACACGACTGGCAATGTTGTTGTTGTTATTAATAAAAACAAATAATTCTATGCACAACATGAATAATGCTGACAGTAGTCACGACAATAATGAAGCAGATTTCAGCTGGAATGTTTGAAATTTTTTATGAACAATTTGTATACATAAATATGTACACATATCTGTTAGTTTGTGTGTGTTTGTGTTTGAGAGACGCAATGTGTGTGTATATGCATGTGTGTATTTAAGAGAGTCTGCGCATGTTTGACTGGGTATGTGTGTGTGTGCGCGCGCGCGCATCAGAACGGCAGCGATGGAGATGTACCAGCCACGACACGACAAGGGTATACAAAGATTCAGTACACCATTCCGAACTAAAGAAGAGATGTATCAGCAACAAAACGACAAAGGTATACAAAGATTGAGTACACCATTCCGAACTAAAGAAGAGATGTATCAGCAACGACACGACAAAGGTATACAAAGATTCAGTACCCTATTCCGAACTAAAGAAGAGATGTATCAGCAACGACACGACAAAGGTATACAAAGATTCAGTACACCATTCCGAACTAAAGAAGAGATTTATCAGCAACGACACGACAAAGGTATACAAAGATTCAGTACCCCATTCCGAACTAAAGAAGAGATGTATCAGCAACGACACGACAAAGGTATACAAAGATTGAGTACACCATTCCGAACTAAAGAAGAGATGTATCAGCAACGACACGACAAAGGTATACAAAGATTCAGTACCCCATTCCGAACTAAAGAAGAGATGTATCAGCAACGACACGACAAAGGTATACAAAGATTCAGTACCCCATTCCGAACTAAAGAAGAGATGTATCAGCAACGACACGACAAGGGTATACGAAGATTGAGTACACCATTCCAAACTAAAGAAGAGATGTATCAGCAACGACACGACAAGGGTATACGAAGATTGAGTACACCATTCCGAACTAAAGAAGAGATGTATCAGCAACGACACGACAAAGGTATACAAAGATTCAGTACCCCATTCCGAACTAAAGAAGAGATGTATCAGCAACGACACGACAAAGGTATACAAAGATTGAGTACACCATTGCGAACTAAAGAAGAGATGTATCAGCAACGACACGACAAAGGTATACAAAGATTCAGTACACCATTCCGAACTAAAGAAGAGATGTATCAGCAACGACACGACAAGGGTATACAAAGATTGAGTACACCATTCCGAACTAAAGAAGAGCTCTCTAACAATGGTCGCCTTAGGTTTGCCATCTGGTGAAATTATCAATGATCTGATCTAAAAAAAACTGGTTCACAAAATAGGACTGCATACGAAACATGTGTAAGATGCCTTTTGTGAAAACGAAACCAGTTGTCAGGGCATCGATAATGCAACAAATTATTCTGTCTGGCAAATAATTCTTGTTCAGTGTCATCAGCTAGTAGATTCCAGATAGAAAAACCTCCAAGCCGATACGAAAGCGTGAGAGTGATCACATAATTAGAAATAAAAACAATAATAGGGACATTGAACATCTGGACAAGAAAAATGTTCTAAGAATATATATATATATATATATATATATATATATATATATATATATATATATATATATATATATATGTGTGTGTATATATATATATATATATATATATATATATATATATATATATATATATATATATATATATATATATATATGTGTATATATATATATATATATATATATATATATATATATACTATATATATATATATATTATTAACGCAGACATAATGTTCTCGATTAATAAGTAAAAGATGCACCATTGTTTGTTGGTAATGCAAGAAGTAAAAGATGCACCATTGTTTGTTGGTAATGCAAGAGGTAAAAGTTGCGCCATTGTTTGTTGGTAATGCAAGAAGTAAAAGATGCACCATTGTTTGTTGGTAATGCAAGAGGTAAAAGTTGCGCCATTGTTTGTTGGTAATGCAAGAAGTAAAAGTTGCGCCATTGTTTGTTGGTAATGCAAGAAGAAAAAGATGCGCTATTGTTTGTTGGTAATGCAAGAAGAAAAAGATGCGCCATTGTTTGTTGGTAACGTCAGCCTTCTATCCATGGTCATGCATCGAAAAGTACGAAAAATAACCAGAAAATAGAAAACTCAATGGAGCTGTGGTGAAAGCAGGAGGAGATAAAAAGAAGAAACTATTCTGGCCGTTAAAACAGCATGTAAAATGCATTGACTTAGTTCTACGTTTTCTAGCTTTTAAAAGTATCATTCCACTAACTCGAATCTATTTACTGGATTATTTGAAATTCAAACGAGAATTGACCAGGCCTTTCCTCCGCTAGTCGCAGAGAATGATTTACTGATGCGTGACTGATGGGAACTGCCGCGTGTAGCCTCTAGACGCTCGCCTACAGATCTGAAGGTTGTGGATTCAGGTCCAGATGAAGCGGGACTTTTTTTTTATCCTGCGCAAATAATTACCTTAACTTCCATGTCGCCCCAGCCACGGCCAGCTCCAGTATGTTTCATAGCAGTATTTTTATGCGCTAAATTTGATAAAGTACGAATGTCCCCCCCCCCCCCCCTCCCCGCGCGCGCTTCTCTGATGCAGCAATACCCTCTCAGAATCAAAGAGTTAGCACTATTTCTTTACTTTTGCTGGAGCAACTTTTAGTTTACATCTAAACGTTATTGATGTTTATGTTTATGTTGACTGTAGCAAAAGCATTTTTGTTTGTCTGTAAGAGCCTTTATTGTTATATTCAATTGGCATACTTATTTACCTTAAAAATGACGTATAGTTCTAAAAAAAATACGTCGAAAATTAACGAAACTGTAGTTTAATTTGTGTATACAACTCCTCGATAAAAACTGTGGACGCAGAGAGACTCAATTCTTGCACAAGAACGGGAATTCCCGTTCGAGCTGTACGGCCTTATAAATCTGGAGCTGGCCGTGCCCCAGCTTTACATGGGTAGCAACTAAAGTCATGTGAAGTGAAGGCACCGACTTGATGATGGACATATCACCCACAAATTGCCGATTGATATAAAAGATATATATATATATATATATATATATATATATATATATATATATATATATATATATATATATATATATATATATATATATATATAGCTCTAGACAATTGTTTTTAGACATGCGGCCCTAAATCTTACTATTCTGTCCAAAACCACTAAAAAGTGATAGTAAATACAGGAGAAAAGACATTTTACATCAGTCGATAAAATGGAATTAGTATCATTATTCACTATGTACATTTCAATAACCATTTCACACAAAAAGTATATGCATATCACATTTTGCTTCTGAGATAAATATAGAGTACATTTTTTTCAGTGTCCTGTAAAATGTGAATAAATTGTTCAGTGTAATTTGTATGTTTTATACAGAATATTGTTTTAACTGCTCACATATGTAACATATATATATGTGTGTGTGTGTGTGTTTACATGTATATATACATAAACACGGCATAGTGTGTGCTTTCTGTGTATGGACATTAAGATGAATAGATGCAGAATTTAGAAAATTATACACCCAGTTTAGTACTAATTGCTGATTTTGTAAACATATTCTTCTTTTTCTTCTTCAGCAGCTTCTTCTTTTTACTGATTCATTTGTCTCCCTCTTGTTAATTGTGGGTGTGTCATCCATGTGTGACATTTTAAACAAAAAATATTTCTTATACAGACAGTATAAATATGTCCCAAATAAAGAGCCTGTAATCGTACGACAGGGATGGTATATGTAGTGACGAGGTTTATGACAGCAAAAGAAGGCAACTATACATAATTATACACCATGTGATACTTTAGAAGTTATGGACGGTTCGTTTTTGTTAATGTTTAAGAGATATAACATTTCTAAAAGTGAAGGTTTCAATCCAATGAAATCACTGGAGCATCCTTGACCTAATGATATACCGTCAATTTGTGCTTTTAAACTAACGATGATGTAACAGGTCATTAAAAGTGAGCAGGTGGCTTCATGGCACCATATATTATCATACTTCCTCGGTCGCTCCTATGAGAATTTGGTCGCCTGTTGAATGAAGTGTCAGACAACACACGAACTCGGCATCTTCAGCAAATGATTACCTGGATTTCTGCACAAAACTGCATTTGTGAACCAAAAGACGTTTTTCCAAAACGAACTTTAGGCTTCAAAGTACCAGGCACACTTGTCACAAACGAAAGCGTATGCTGCATGAACAAGAAGCCCTGAGATTACAATCTTCATCTCAGAATGGCTTTGAGAAAATTGAAAGTCAGAACATTAAGTTCTTCAACAAAGCTAAATTATTCATGTCATGAATCTGAAAACTGAACCGATTTCTGTGATAACGAAGTTATCTTCCTCTTCTGAGATCCAGTTCGTACAGGAATACACAGAAGTGCGGATCTTCTTTGGTAGGTCTCATCTTTGTAATACAGACGTTCTTCTCGTGATAGTCCTGAAGAATCTGCACCATATTTCAATAGTTTCTTCGCCACTAAGGTGTTTCCTCGCCTGAGAGCATAATACAAAGGGGTGCAGTTTGTATCGTCCTGTTTGTCCAGCAGAGCCCCATTCTGAACCAGCAGCTGCAGTATGCTTACGTCCCCTCTATGCGCAGCAAGATGCAAGGGAGTGCATCTGCCGGGAAGACCATCCGGCATGCCCATTTCTAAATTGGCGTCTACGCCTGCTTTTAGAGCCAGTTTGACCAGCTTTCTGGCCCCCCGAAGTGTGCACGCGTGCATAGGCGTCCACTCGTCGATCTTTGAGGCAAAGACTTTTTGGAAAAACGCCCGGTCTTTCTTGATTAGCATTTTCGCTCGCTGGACTAGCTGATCTTCATTGTGACGCAGCAGTCCCAGAAATACGACGGCCTCGAAAGCCGCATTGGAGAGTGGTTTTTCTGGGTCTAAGGCGTGACCGTGCAGTGAACTCACCGTTGTCAGCGTGGGTTTTATCGCCTTCTGTAGGTCTGTAAAAGTAAAATAAAATAACACGTCAGGTTTGTCATTGATTATTATTCATTATTATTTAGCTTTTGCTGTTCTATTATTATTATTATTATTATTACTATTATTACTATTATTATTATTTTATTATTATTATTGTTCCAGCGAGCCAAATTTCTAATTCTTTGAGCACAAAAGTAATTCGTTGGTTGGTTCGTTCTTCTTCCTTCTTCTTCTGCTTCTTCTTTTTCTTCTTCTTCTTCTACTTATTATTATTATTATTTGCCGACTACAGCTAATGTTACTGCTGTTGCTGTTACTGCTGCTACTACTGACGCTACTTCTACTACTTTTACTACGATTACTACTATTAACACAACAGCTACTGCTAACACTACAACCACTGCTACTTTTACTTTTTAATCATTCATTTTATCTTCTCTTCACCTTCGTTTTTTAATTGCTACTATTACTACTTTTGTTGTTTTTATTATTATGCGTCTTTTACTTCTTCTTCTTTTTCTTCTTTCTTTTTTTATTCCTTCATTCTTCTTCATATTGTCCTCTTCTTCCAAGGTAATTTATACCTCAACGAAGCAAAGCTTCCAAACATCCCAAGCCAACATCTCTTCTCTTTTGCCACCTCCAGCAAAGAGGGCTGGGCTAAAAGGTGGAAAATATTTACTAATTTTTAGAAGATAGCAAAGAAGGGCTTGATGGGAGTTGGCTGAGAACACTCATTTAATTGTGAGTACAAATGATGAAGATTTAGGAAGTAAATGCGACCAGTATCTATCGTTGGATAGGTTTGTCCACCTCGGGTTGTTACTTAAAGATTTACCATACCATTATGAGATTTAAAATTCGTACGGCAGACTAACAAGGCAGATACCAGATACCCCGTTCAACATCCGTAGGATTTGTAATTATGCACCAGTAACCGCAACACCAGCCATGTATAACCTGCAGTTATGTGCCGGCTAGGACACACGTGGATGAACGAAGTTCTACCTTACCAGGACCGCACAACTAGCGACCAACACAAAATGCCACCATTCGGATGAAAATCACCTGGGCGCAAATCTTAGAAACTCCCGTTCAACCGGCCGGTTATACTAGGGTCCCCGACAACAGCAGCAGTGGGGCTTTAAAATAACGAAAAAATGGTTCCCATATTAGGACGGCTTTTCTATTTGATTTTATGGATGCACATTCAGAAGGTGCAGTAGCAGTGTTAAAGAAATGAACTTCCAATACTGTAGTTCCCATTACTATTAGGTGAGGTGGTCTATTCTCTTCCTCTCTTTAGTAATCACTCATACTCAGTAAAATCTTTCAGTCACAGACATTTTTTTTATACTTTCCATCGTAAACTGTGTATACTTGTTTAGTAAACATTTAGCGGTCTAACTGAGTTTAAAATAATACACTTCTCAGACAAAGCGAGTTAAAGTAACAAACTGAATAAACATAATTATTGTAAGAGAAGAATTTTAATGGGGGGAAAAATAAATAACCAGTGAACGTATAGTAAGTTGACTGACACTGAAAGAGTTAATATGACATGGTAAGATCAATCCCCTTTAAAGAGAATGTATGTTTCTTCTTTTTCTACCAGTGAGTTTAACAGTACGGTTGTAACTTCCATTTCCTCGCCCCCCCCCCCCACCCCCAAATCTTGTGTTTGAGGGTTGAACCCGCCCTTTTGTACATACAAGCCTGTGCACTAGCCACGGCATCAACAAAGTTGTGCCTCAGGAAATGTTGGTATCTATGAATTATTAATGATAACAATGGTGACCCGAATCCTGTGTTTGAGGATTGAACACGCCCTTCTGTACACACAAGCCTGTGCACTGACCATGGCATCAACAAAGTTGTGCATCAGTAAGTGTTGGTATCTATAAATTATTAATGATAACAATGGTGACCGATGCTGAAGATAGTGGTTGTGGTAGTTTCAATATTGATGATGATAGCAGAGGCAGTGATAATCACGACGGTGATCGCTTGGATATTGTTGGTTGTAACTACAAAGGAAAAGAAAATCGATGAAAGTAAAAGTACTCACATTTCACCATTTTGAAGCCTGGAATTGATCTCGCCACTTGTATAATGTTACGCGAACAAATAATGTAACTTAAAATATAACTGGTCTAAAGTGTTAAATAGAAACGCTACTGAATGTAAAGTATCGCTTCATCACTAGTAAATTCAGAAATATCAGTAAGATCTGACTGAATTATGTTGTTCAAAATGTAGAGCTCTAGCCTAAGGACACAAATGAAAGACTTATATATTGATAAGCTGGCTAGCTGGCTCGAACTCTGGTATCCCTTTTTTCCATCTCAAGTATGCTACGCTAGAGGTATTCCCTGGTTTATAAATAGAAGTGCACGTGATGCAACCGCTAACAATTTATTAGCCAGTAAAAACCTTCGAAATATTGTTGAAGGGGAGTGGAGTTTCAAGAAGGGAAAAGTGTCCGGATTGGAGGAATTACATGCTGGCTATCTCGTCACGGATTTGTGTGCAGAGGCGTTTCATCGGATGGATAGTTGAAATGGGTGTAATTTTCGAAGTCAAAGGAAATTAAATCTAATATCTAGTATTTAGTTCTAATTCAGACCAGTACGGTTGTTTAGTCGGCGTCTATGCCTTGGGATTGCGGTCGCACTTCATAATGCCGGGAATCCGGGTTCGATCCCAGCTGCATGCTTTGCGCCTTGTGTTGGTTTCGATAGCTGTATCGAAAAGGCGACCGTCCAGGAGGAAATGGCAAACTACAGGACGAAAATTTGCCTAGAAAACCATAACAGCAAAAAACAATGCTGGATTGGTTCTGCGACGTCATGTAAAGGATACGCAACTAACCAACGGTTGTATAGATGTTAAACATGGAGAACAACTAAAACAATTATGAATAAACTACCAACATTCATTTAGCTGGTGTAAGTAGTATACGAAGACTATTGATGTTAACTACGAAAGAGAGCAAAACAAATTCCAGTGATCAAGAGGTGAGAAAAGACGCTGGTATTGAATAGGACAATTATACTTCTTTTCTTTTTTTTTAATAACACCAAGAAACTTAATATGACTCTTTTTGGTATTAAATGAGTTGAATGTTCGATGTGGGTATTTGTGATTTATCCTGTTGGGTTGACATCCGGGAAGTGACTTTTCAGATTATTGGGGGGGGGGGGGGGGGGCGGGCGGCCGGAACGTTTAGGTTGCAGTCTCGAAGGGACATAGGGGACAATCAGTCAGTTTCTTCCTTAAAGTGTTATCTCTTTGACCAGTAGTTCTCAACCTGCCAGCCGCGATCCTTTTTTGGGTCGAATGACCCTTTCATAGTGGTCGCCTAAGACCATCGGAAAACACCTGTTCATTGAAGTTATTAGGGAAAATAATTGTATGGGGGTCGTCATAACTTTAGTGAACTGTATTAAAGGGTCGCGGCATTAGGAAGGTAAAGAGTCACTATTTTAGACAGACGGACTAATTGAATGTTGAGTGCTCAATTAAGAATCAACGTCATAGCACTCGGGACACTCCCACAAGTGTTCTGTTCTCATCTTCAGCAGCAAGCGAAGAGTTCTAATTCTGATGGTACCAGTAACTGTTTGGTTGTAACTGTCTGGACTAAGTGATGACATAAAAGAAGTAGTACCGGGACACAATCGACTGACACAATGAATCTAAGCTACAACAAAACAGCGACCAAGTCGGCCATTGGCTGGTCGTAAGAGGACTTCGTCGTCTGTCGGGAGTGCGTTTGTGTCTTTCTCTGTTGATCGCATCAATACTGTAGGAGTTCTTTTCTTGGCTTCTTGGTTGCGAGCAATGCTAAGCCATTTTATATGGCGCAAATAACCTGGTCACAATTATAACCCAAAACTCCGCCTTCGGGGTTGCTGGTTAAACGTGACGATTTTTGTTTTTATAGCAAAGCAGGGGAACGAAGCTACAATTCGTAATGTTCAAAGATTCACACACACCAACAAAAGCTGAAGATACTTTTTGTTGTATATTTTCACTAACACATCTTTAAACTTGTGAAGGTGTGTGTGGGTGTTGATGTGTGTGTGTGTGTGTGTGTGTGTGTGTGTGTGTGTGTTGCCGATTTAGCAAATTATTTGACGGACTAATTTATTAAATTTTTATTATAGTGACACCATCCTTGATCTCACAACCATGGAAGTAAGAACAGTGATCTGCCGAGCACGTGCGTATCTGCGTAGCAGTGCTGATACACACCAACCATTGGGCAATGAGACGGTTAAAAAGAGGACAATGTCCGGATCGCTAGCGTAGTCGATTAAAACCTGACTGAGCGACGACCAGATCACGAACTCATTTTGGTCCGGGTTCATGCCCGGGGTTAGGCAGAAAAGCCACATTTCTCCCAGATCTACGATATCTATCATGGAATCAAAGCCCAAGGGGTTGCGATATCCAGAGTACCGAACTAAATGGTAAACAAACAACTCATGGTTTCTGGATACTAGAAAAAAGGACAATCAAATGTGTGTCAGGTTAAGGGCATTATTCAACAATTTTGTTCAACTGATGACAAAGAACCTGGTGAGGAATGGTTTCGAGTGCCAGTAGAGTGTTGTACATCTTTTTTTTTTTTTTTCAGTCTTTATAAAAACTAGAGACAGCAAAATTAATAACAGGAACAGAATTTATATCAGAAAGAATTATTTTAATCAAGTTGACAGAAGGAAGTAAAACTACAACGATTATTCAGATATATGCACCTTGCATTTTTTTTTTTTAGGACAAGAGCAAAGGTTGAACCTCTACTGAGTAAAGCACAATTCGGTTTCAGGAAAGGGCGAGGTTGCACTGATGCCATATTTGCACTAAGACAAGTCTGTGAAAAGACACTCGAATACGATAAAGAGCTGAACGTGGTCTTTGTAGATCAAGAGAAGGCATTCGACCGTGTAGACAGAGATGTGCTGTGGAGAATTCTTGACGATTACGGAGTGCAGGGTCAATTATTAGACAACATCAGAGCCCTCTATGAAAAAAGTGAAAGTGCAGTAAGAACATCTAGTGGTCTTTCTGAATGGTTCAAAGTCACAACTGGTGTCAGACAAGGATGTGTACTGTCACCATTACTTTTCATAACATACATGGATAAGATCACTGTAGAAGCAAACCCAGACGTGTATGCTATAAACGAATTACTTTTTGCTGATGATCAAGCATACTGTATCAAAATGAATATGATCTACAGGAACATCTGACTACTCTCAACAACAGCTGTTTACAACATAATATGAAGAATCAGTACAGAAAAAAACAGAAGTTATGAAGATCAGCAGAACACACAGGCCACTGAATATAAATGTTGGAAGTGCCAAAATCAAGCAAACCAAAGAGTTCAAATACTTGGGCAGTATATTTACAGAGGATGGAAGAATGGACAGAGAGATAGAAACAAGAATACAGAAAGCAAATGCTGTCACATACCAACTATCACCTCTGCTTAAACATCCAGATATAACCATGAAGACCAAAAGACAATTGATAAACACCATCTTCATTCCAACACTCTGCTACCAGTGCCAGACATGGACAATCAACAAGACCCATGAAAGAAAAATAGAAGCCTGTGAAATGAAATGTCTAAGAAAAGCAGCGAATAAGACAAGACTAGACAGGATAAAGAATATAGACATTAGAAACACTGTCAAAACTACACCATGTTTAGACTACATAGAACATCAAAGAATGAAATGGTTTGGACATCTAACCAGGATGAAAAATGATCAAATAACATCACAAATTTTCAATCAAAGAAGCTCAGGATATAAGGCAAGAGGAAGACCAAGGAAACGGTGGATTGACGGGGTCTCCGAAACCTGCCAAAAGCATGGCCTCAGAACATCAGATGCTGCCCGCCTTGCTTATGACAGGAACTTGCATCTCCCCACAACGCTTAGCGGCATACGTGGAAGGAAAAAGTAAAAGTAAGTAAGTATAAAAACTAGATAGAAAATGCAGACAACAAAACCCGTTGGTGGTTATGGCAAAAGTTCAAGCCTTAATTCTTAAAAATTTTGTGACGGAGGTGCAGTTATCTACACATGGGTACATAGTGCTAAACCAAAATTTTATAAACCAATCTGCATCCTGTGGGTGATGTGGACAGCAATACGCCGACCGCCTTTACTTCTCAGAATGCACATGCTGCCCATTTATGGCCGTATTAGCCTGGAAACCAAGGTCATTGTTCAAGATAATCCCACTGGATGTGCATGCCTCGAACCCACGACTAGGAGCCCGCAAGTAAGCGTCTATCCTCTACGCCATGGCTTCTCTCTGTATTTTAATGTTCCGGAATTTTCTAGGGTGGAAGGATGGAAAAAAGAGGAAATCGACCACCCGTCTAAGATGTCTTTACCTGGAATAAACGAAGATCTACCCTTCATACATCGATAACAGTATGTGCTGTAGCAGTTGTTCGCCATTAGATAAGATTCGTGAAGTAAAAGTTGAGGTCACTGTACACGACAGTTGCGTATCAAGCAAATCAGGCTGGACTCAAATGTGTATGCACTATTGGTTTTAAAGATCTCAGTGGATATTATGGTTAACATTATGGCAGCCTCCTTTACATCCCAGCACGTTAGCAAGTATCCATTTTAGGCTAGTTCGACCTGAAAGCCAAAGTAATGCGTGGAAAAGAAATTCGGCTCCATGAGGATTTGAACTCTGGAGCTTCAGACCCTCAGGCGTGCGTTTGGCCGCTACATCACGTTAAGACATTTGAATCTTTCTCAGGAAATGAGTTAGCAGGCAGACTTGTAAAAAATGGAACAAAGGAGAAACAACATACCTCTTCATTGTCATTACCATAAATCAAAGCACTTATCAAGGACATTTACAGGTAACTGTAGACAGAACAAACTAACAGTAAACATCCACACGACCTCATCAGCAGACTCAACCGAAAGCAACATATAACAGTTTTCCGCCTACGAACAGGGCCCTGCAGGCTCAACTACCATATGCATCATATAAAGATTGTACATTTCCCCACGGTGTGCCTGTCAAACAGGAC